CCTATCTCTACCATTAACGCTCTTCAATCATTTTTTGGTGTTCTGTGCACCTCCTATGCGGCCAGTAATTTTTCATTTTAGGACTCTTCCCGAAAAATACATAAGCAAACGATATTTGAATTTAGTCTTTGATTTTATTAATTTTTGACCGGAAAAAAATATTAAAAACAATTTTTGATGAAATAAAGAATACAGAAAATTAAGAATACAGAAAGAGCATGTCAATATAGAAATAACTCCTAATTGAGAATAATGCAATCTTGCAAAGCGTTTCTAATTATTCTCGTCTTTCTCATTAATTGTTCATTCTCATTCGAGCTTATTACTTCCCTCCATTGGGCCGTAATTATGTATAATTATTTATTGGATGACCAAAAATGTCTGCAGCTAGATCAGTTAGGGATAAAAATGGCCGGTGCATTCAGGATCTCGTCTCTTCATCGATGAATCGGAATTCTAACATTTCCAGAAGTGTTTTCAGAGAACGTCTTCATGTTTCTTTGACAGATTTCACGGAAATGTCTCTCGTATTTAATCTTGCTTCTTTGAAAAGCGGCGAGCTCCAGGGTCGCATTTTCGTAACACAATTGCATAGACCTCACTAGGAAGCTTGGCGTGCAGGAGTCTTCAGCCGATCCATGGTAGCCATCAGCTGGGCTGAGGCGGCGTCAGTCTCACTAAAAGCCATGTATACAGCTTCGGTTTCCGCTTGTCAATCAATTCGTACTGCAGATTAGCTAACCCGTCAGTGGAGAATCTTTTCTTGCCTGTCTTCAGGTTCTCGTACCTATCATCAAAAATTAAGCATTCAACTACTACAATCCGAAAGAAAGCTCAAAGAAGCTAGTTATTCTGAATAAAAAGTAGCAACATTTTTGACTCACCTCTTCGGATTGGCCTTTTCTTTTTTGTGCGCCAGCATTTTATAGCGCGCAACATTTGCTGGATATCGCGAAATATGCAGACCATGGGCTTTGATACGATTCGCCATATCGTCATCTTCACCACCCCAGCCCCAGAAGACGTTGCTAAATCCGTTAACCAGCTGGAAGTGTTCGCGTGACATTGCGGACACGCCGCCAAAGAGATCATTGTAGGGTAGCCTGAAGACAAACAAGCATTAAATAAATTTTTTCGTAATAAAAAAAAAGAATAAGCTAAATTCACATAAAAAAATTGAGAATTATATAATTTACAAATGATATTTGTAATTCTTATTTAGAATCGCTTTTTTGTGTAACGAGAGGATCATATTTTTACCTGTACTTGAATTTGTCCACCGCGACTGACATATGTCTAGGCTGTTCGGGACAAGTGTACAGATTCCTATCGTCCTCCGGAAGTAGGTCAACATCGTGAAAGATGAAGCAATCGAAGGTTCGTTCCTTTAGAGCCTCTACATAACCGACGTTCATGAGCATTGCTCGATTAAAGGCCTCGGTACCTGAGGATAGAATAACGTGGATAAATATCACGATATATTGTTAAAGAGAAATATAAATCTTTTCAAGTAAAAATAGTAAACAAATTAATTCGATATAATTCGATAACTTTCGTTAAAAAAAACTTTAGATTTTCTTCTCTTCAAAACAATTTCAAATGATTTACATTTCTTAAAATATTCCAACTACATATATAAATGTTGTAGTCACAATTATTTTATTAGAAAATTTAATTTGAAAATTTACATTGAAATTTTACCTTGAACATTTAAGTTTCATCTTGATTCGTGTGAGCACGATATATTCGACGTTTTGTAATATATTTAATTTTTTTAATTATCATGACGCAAGAACTTAATCAACAGGCTGAAATAAATGGAGCTTCTTTAATAAATTGCAGCAAGTCAAAAAGAAGTTTGCGCTTTCGCAAATGAAAATCTGCTAAATCTTTCAAGTACTTCATTGTTAATCAAGTGTCAAATATTTAGCTTGATCCGAGTATGAAATTTTAACTTCCTTACTTCTCCTAATTTATGCGCGTCCCTTAATTTATGAATGCTGATTAGTTCGACCTACTACAAGCTATCAAAGTTGCTCCACGCTCTCGACTCGAGGTTGTAGCAAATAATCCAGCTCTCTAGCGTGTTTTAAAGGAACTTTCTTGGCAAAGTTGCTATAACAGACTTGTTTTAAAGCCGAAGGAAGTCTTGATCTCCATCGGAAGGAAGGGGAAGCAGCCGCGTACAAATTGCTGCTGGTTTGACAAGAGGAGCTGCCGCCTTGCAAGGATTGATGAAAAAGGGAGTTGCAGGAACCCGGGGATGTTTGCCAAGTCTGGCGCAATTAAAAGTTTCACGTCTTATCCTGTCATCGCGGTTACTCAAATACTATGACGAAAGTGGGCCATACGTAGGAAACTTTAGCGAATTTTCCTTGTATTCCATGTCATCCGCTTAACGTCCTTTTGTCGTTTTCATTTTCTTGGGCTGGGATTTATAATCAAGAATGTTAGAACAAACTCAGAAACATAATTAACAAAAAAAAATCTTATTTCTTAATTTACGATTGTTACGATTATTTCTCTTTAAACGAAACAGAAATAATAATATTAACAGTAACATTTTCTATACAAAAAATATTCTTGATAAAATCATCAGCTAAATAAATTAGTCGGTATTTTCCATTAGCGTTTAAGCAGCATAAATAATTCACAAATTAAATTTATCGAATACGTCGGAGTATACCTCATATTAATAATACATACTTCCTGTGAAGAAAGATGGAAGCGAAAGAGCGCGGAAAGTGTGTGAGTCGAGGCTAAAAGGAATCTAACTGGATCCTATAAACGTTGCCCGCGTCGCGTCGGATTATTCGAGAATGATTACGAGACCGGCAGGCTCTTTCTCAAAGAACGAAGAGGAAAAGCAAAGGCTAACGTTCTCAAAGCCGCTAGTTGCATCTCCCGTCGATTATCATTGGCTGAATAGACTTCGCGCTCGATCGAACCTCCTGCACCACCACCAACCGACATACACCGAAGACACACGCGGAAAGATAAAGAGCATTACAAGAAGGACCCCCCTTGGAGGAGCATTCGCCAAATGCGCGCACGGCAGGATATAAACGGTCTTGTTTCTCCCGGCCTCGACGAAAGACGTCTCGGCGGAAGTGTATATTCCGGGTATGTCAGATATTTCTTTATGCCGTCAACGACGAGTAAAAAGGGATGCGATAAAGCAGAACGGCGGGGGCGCATAGGGACGCGAAACACAGTCGGCGACGATAAAGAGACGCAGGTGCAGCACGACTACGATGAACAATTTTACGAAAGGGAGAAAAGGGGAAGAGGAAACTCTCATCCCGAGGTGATGTTGACCTAAAAGATGTAAATGTTGAGCGATCTAATGGCGTTTCGTTGCAGAACAGTTTTGCGTTATTTTCGACGTGTCGCATTGGTGTACGCTATTCCAAAGCGTACAATTACGCTCTTTGACGAATTAAAATTGCAAATAAACGAAAGCAAAACGTAATCTAACCGAGAAAAAGTAGAAACGAATGATATTCTAAAATCTCTTGAGCGATAGTGCCTAAATAAATGGCTCATAATTATTTTCAACGGAAAAGAATTTTGCAAATTAATTATAAAAGTATAATATCGAGATTTTTCATTATAGCTAATAATATAAATAATGAAATATCAGATAAATTAGTTGTTTTATTAAAAGAGAAATGTACAAAGGCGAAGGATCGCTCTCGTCGTAAAACTAAAGCCAAAAGCCAATAGATTTATCTTTTCTTTATATATATTGTATATATTCCTTTTTAAGAACATAAATCAGATAATAGTTCTTCTGATAATATAAACGATAGAATCATTTTTTATTTAATTATGTTTTCTTGATACTTTCAAGTATAACGTTGGCTTCAGTTAGTCTTTAATAAAATTATGACTGTATTGAATCATGTCTCGAGTAATAAAATTCCATTGATTGGGATTACGTGTCATTACTATCGATTTACTGTCATTTTATTTTACAGTGTAATTAATACGTACTAATACGTAATACACAAAGAGAGGTCGCAAAGACGTGACGATGGAAAACGATTGATTAAATGTTTATCGATATCTTCCGCCTACAACGGATTTTTTCCTTCGACGGATTTTGATGCTGGCAAATTAGACAGGTAAGATCACGTCTGAATCGATTGTCGTCCCGACGGATACCACTCCAAACTAGCGACAAGCTGGGTTCATTTCCATATCTCTTTTCATGGAAGAATCCCGCTTATTTATTCATTCGAAAGAATTGCGTCTGCAATATCAAGTTATGCGCTGCCACGTTTGTTCGGGAAGCGCAGAAAGGCACGCGCCATCATTGCCCCACCCGTCTTCTATCTGTATCCTCGGCTGTACGTCTGTACATACATTTAAATTCCCAGAATATTCCCCGTTGTTCTCGCCGTGTCTCGGCTCTCGTTACTTTCATCGCTGGAAAAGTAATTTCTCTCAATTTTTTGCAACGGCACGCTGAAACAACTACTACGTGATATTTCCGTGCACGCGATTATCATTTGAGTCTATGTCTTGCAAAGGCGTTGAAATTATTATAATTTACGAAATAACGAAATAGCACAATTTCATAAAATACAAGTAATTATCGCTTATTACAATCAATCGTGAAAATCGTTTCTAATAGAATACAGTAATTCCAAAGGAGACGCAATGAAAATTGCAATGAATCTTTGCAGCGAAACTTCCTGAAATCAAGATTTTGCTTACATAATGATACCTGACAGCCGTTTCACTGTCTGTCTTTCCTATCATATCTCGATCCAACACTACGAAGAAAACTCGATCGCGTTTCTCATAGTATTTATCAAACTTAAAGACGACTAGGCAACGGATTTCCTTGGTATCGATGACCGGACGGTTGATGTTAACGATTGTATACAGTTACGATAATAAGAGTCTATCCCATGTGGATGCACGCCGGTGCTTCCGACAGTTCTATCCAGCGCGATATTAATGGGCGGATTTCTGTATCGCGAGAGTGCCCGAAGCTGCGGCCAGCGACAGGTGCAACTAATTGTCCATGAGAGTTGCCCGCCTCGATAATCTTGCCCCTCTTCCGGTAGTAGACATTCACAGAGGAACGTCCGCTGCACTTCTGTTTCACGGAATTAATAATTATTAGACGTTGTGTGATTGGAATGCGAATTATATCAGGCGGTGTATACTTAAATTTACTTTTTTATTTAATACATTTACCTAATACATACTCTCCAAAATTTTTAGAGTGAAATCTCAGTCTTAAATATTGAAAATTGACACTCTTTTTCAAGATTGGTTTAATTTCACTCTTTGGAGTGCGATTCCATTCCAAAGAATTTAGAGAGTACGTTTAGATTTATTTATTCAAAATTACACTCACAAGGAAAATGTCCCTCTCTGATTTTAATGAAACTTGATGGATTTTTAGAGGGGATAAAAATATTCAATACGCATTTTTTTTTTATCGGAATAACAAATGGAATAACGAAAATTTGATTTCTGAGAGTGGAATTTCATCCCTTGAATATGTGGTTGTTGATAAAAAAATATGTATCAAATATTGTATGTATATAAATACGTTTCATTAAAATCAAAGAAAAACACTAAAAGCTCTTTCTTGTCAGAAGAAAGCATTGAGTATTTGTGATTATAATTATATAAAATAATAAGTGAAGAACTCTATTTTTATAGTTGTTATTGTTATAAAAATATATATTAGTTAGGCCCGAAAACAGTTATAAATTACAATAGTCATTTTCTCGGTGCCTATTACATATTTGTTTGTATACAGAACTATAAAAATAATTGCTAACATTATAGCAGTAATAATTACAAAAATGGAACTCCTAATTATAATTACTTGGCCATGCAATTACAATCACAAACATCACTTTTCTCTCAGCGTAATATTTAAATAATTTATACAGAGACAAATAGCTGTTATTCTGTAATGACTGAATGAATGATGTTTCATCTAATATTCATTTCAGTACATTCATTTGGTATCTAATATGAACCCGTAGATGTAAGATTAATATTATTCAGACAATTTCTACTAGCTAACATTATATCGACATTATTATTATTATAAATCATCATCCTCCTCTATATTGCGAGAAAGATAAACAGATTTATCTGTATATTTTTGTTATTTCTCTATATTTCAATTTAGTTTCCGAGCAAAAATTCAGTCGTAAAACGAGAAATACGAAATATCAAGAAAACTTGTGAGATTAGCACTCTCGAGATAGGAACTCTTCTCCTCTCCCACATATCTCCGAACCCTTATCCCGTATCGAGAAATTGATTTTGTTCGAGCCAGAGCTGCAGAGGGAAGTACACCGTGAATCTAATTTCCTGATCCACGCGACGCAGTCGATCGGCCGGACTTACTGCAAACGAAGTCGCTGATCCTCCAGTAGTCGATTCGATAAATATTCAGCGCAGCAC